CTGTACATCCTCTATTCGCATCTCGCCTATCCATTAAACGTAATACTTCTTTTGAACTTTCTTCATAAAATAGACCATAAGTGGAGGCCTTTGGCGTTGTATCAAAAATTCGTAATTCTACAAAAGTTCATGAATATTCGAATGAAATAATTATGTTGGGCATTGCATAATTATGTGACTGATTTAAGAAACTGGAACAAAGTAATACTTGATTTTTATTTGAGATTATTTAATGACACAGCTTCTAATATTGTTGTTATGAAAATACGAGTTCCGAAACAAAAAACATTTATATTTAGAAACGATATATTCAAATCTGAACAAGACGCTTATCTCTAATTGAAAGAAAATTTTCTTGATATTGAATTTCTCTTATTCCGTCTAATTCTAGCACTAAGTAATTAGATTTTGTTTACTACTTATATGTTTTTCATTTCGTTTTTGGATTGTAAGATAGTAGTGCATATGCTTTTAAAGAAAATGTAACTCTTGTTTATTTTGACGAAATAAATCAGTTTGTAAAGTTTGTGACAATATCACTGTTACAATTCGAAGTTTGCAATTCTTACTTTAGAATTGGTATACTAATTTTCTAATAGAAGAAACATTTTTTAGTTTTTTCAATTTTTGAAACATAAGTAAAATACTTGACGAGTTACTTGAAACAACACGGCTCTTTCTCGGCTGAGAAGATCCTTATTTTTCTCGCTAAGCTACTGGCAACTTGTACTTCTGTTTTCCTCGGATTATACCCCATTTAACGTAACTGTTTATTATGCAGCTTCTGAACAAAACACCTACCAATTTAGAAACCTATAATAGATTTTCATCATGATCTCGCAGTGATCCAGCACAAAAAGAACAGTTTCAAGTTAATCGTCCGATATTAGCATCGCTCAAAAACGATAGCTACATGAGGTAGTTTACAAAACGCTGTGGGTAAATCATTTTACCTATTTGTAATTCAAATTAACCGTGTCAGCCTCGAACTGTTTGTTACAATGTGAAGATAGGCTTTCTTTTTGCATCGGTTTTGAATTTTGTTCTCTTAATTGAAACCAGTTTTACTTATAGATCACATAGATTAGATTAGATTAATGATGTGTAGGAACCATCGACAATACGAGAGTATGAAAGTAGAAACCTTCCAAATATGAAAATAGTTAAAATAATTTTCATTGGGAAAGAGTAAATATCAAGCAGTTATTTAACTTCTAAATAAAATATTTTCCTTTCAAATATCGTTATAAAATTAGCTGAAAGTCAAATAGATCAGGCAGTAGAGCAATACAATTAGGCTTTGGCGTTTGTGTTTGAAGTCATCTATTTTGTTGTACAGAAAAATCCCAAAGAATAAGAATCCTAGTTTGCCTATTTCAAAAAACCATTGCTAAATTCAGGGAAACAACAAACATAAAAAAATAACCAAAAATGACCCGTTTTTCGACATATTTTTCCCTGAACATTGAAAGTAAGCCCCAAATCAAAAGTCATTCTTTATTTTTTGTTTATTTGACGATTTTCTATAAAGTTATGTTATAACTACGAATCAAAAAAGTTGAATTTTGCTTTTAAAAATGAACGAAAAATAGTAGAAAATCATATGTATATTTGGAGCAATTTTTAAAATAAGTAAATATTTATAAATATTGATGAAACTTTATGAACAAATAAGTAGTATATGTCAATTCTACCCAAAAAATTTTACAACGATCGGTCGTGTGGTTTTCGATTGACAGGATTGTTAAGAAAATTTCAAAAAGTTTATCGCTTTCCGTGGGTTTAAATTAAGGTTTAGAAAGGGCACACAATTGTTTAGAGATACTTGTCATAATTATGTTTGTTTTTTCTCATCCTATAAATGGTTTTAGTACTGTTGGATGGTGTAAACCAAATAAACAAATAAATAAATAAATAAATAAATAAATAAATACATAAATACATAAATAAATAAATAATAAACAATGATCAATACTAAAAATACCTATTTTTACAATTTTATAACCATTTTTAATTTAGCAATAATCTTTGATCCAGTGGCTTCGTTTTTCCGAGTTCTAAGCTGGAAAAAATTTTCATATCAACAAGTTATCGGCAACATAGATAAATCAGCGGAAAAGCTGTCGCTGGCACGCGCGAAAATTGACTCAAAACACGAAAAGTGGGGGAGAGGGCTTTCGCTCCGAGGCTAATTCAGAGGTTCAAAATGTCAATGTATGAAAAAAATTGCATTATATCGGCTTCTAATGGACCAATTTCGATCTTTTTTTTTAATCCGATGTCTCGCAAGCCAAGAAATTCGAATATCGTAATGCCAACTGTATAATTTGCACATATTTTGTTATATACAAAGTTTATTATTTATGCATTAAATATACTGTATATTTTACCCTAAGCTATTACATTTTTTCAATTAAAAAATTTGTTTACGTGTATATTTCAACACTGAATATGAATGTATTTAGTTATAATTATTACAATTATTTAAATATATTTTTTAACAAATTAAAACAAGATTTTATTTGGAAATTAATTTTTTTGTGAAGTACAGATAAAATTAAGAAAAAATAGTACTTTAAAATTATAATTTTTGAAAAACAACTAAATTGCAAATTGATAAATGTAATCTAATTGTTTAAAAATAAAAAAAAAAGAGTGTTAACTTTAAATATTTACTGTGGCCGTCCTAATCAATCTATTTCAATTTTTCAAAAACCATTTAAGAGGTTGAGCGGTCTTTTCTGTGTGAAAAAATTTTCAAGTATGTTTTACTTGAGGCTGTGCAACATTTTGAAAATTCGAAAAATTTTTTCAAAATTTTTTTGTTATTTTGCGAAAACTATCGAACCGATTTTAATGAAATTTGTTGTGTTGTTTTATTCTATATCTAAAGTTTTTTTACCAAAGTTAGAATGCCTTCGGAACAATTAAAATATTTTTAAAAAATTATCCAAAAAAAACCTTAACGTTGTGTTGTTCAGCAAAATTATAATTAGGAAATAATCAAATCAACGGCAGTATTTTTAACAAGGTCATAGCGTGCTGTTTTTACGGGAATCATGAAATAATTGTTGTTTACTGTAAGTCGTCAAAATTTTTCCTAGAATATTTCTTCAATTTTTTTATTTGAATCCCTTAAGAAAAGGTAAGTTCTACAATAAAAATTTCAAATGGCAGGGAAAATATTGTGGCGTATAAATCTATTAAATCTCTAACAACAAGTAACTAGGTACAAATTGAAAATAATTAAAGAAATGATAGGCACTACTTACCTGAGTTTATTGGATGTTGCAAACGTCCATCGTTCACGTCCACTAACCAAGGATTCATTTAAAACGATATTTATGACAATAATATAACAGAGAAGACTCAAAATTTCTTAAAGTATATGAATTGGTTGTAATTTAATTAATTATTAAGAATTCAGATGAAATAATATTTAACTTACTTAGATTTCTTTAAATCTATATGAAGATCATTTGCCACTTAGTGAGGTTAGAATTCCATCAACTAATTTTAATTTAAAGATTAAAGAATTAGTGACTATTGATAATATTTAAAATATAAATTTCCAATTAACTGAGCTTTACTACAAAAGCAAATATGGTCTTCAAAAATTATTACTTGCTGTAATTCTTCATAACAATGTCAGTTTTTGTTACTTCTATCAAATTATTCTAGTTTGAGAATCTTTTTTAAATACAAACGTTAAAATTAAAGTACAAAAGTAACCTCATGTAAATTTCATCTAGACTTTTGTCGTCTTCAAGGTCATCATAATATAGTACACATTTAAAAATGTAAAACTTGTTAATTTCTATAGAAAAAAGAGACCAGAGAGTTTAAAGAAGACAAATCACCTTGATATTTAGATTTTGACAATATTAACGTAATAAGTAAATAAGATAGTAATGAGATGACAATTTATTGTGACATACGAGGTCTGCTCACAAAATAATTTTTTGAATGTGGTTGCGCATAATGTGATCTGTAACCACCTGTTCTTGGATTCGTGAATTAGATTCTATGGTATCTTCCTCCTCGTACTTTAGGTAATTAACAAAATATAAAGCAAGAATTGTCAGATCAGTTCGTTTTTTGACCCTAACACTCCTATAGAAAGCGGTTTTCGAGATTTTAAAGCGACTTCAATAGTCAATGATTCCAAATTCGAATTTATGATATCAGCACTATAACCCCATAGCCCTGTCGCTTCATAATCCCCTAACCCCATAATCCGGGATGTGTAAGGATGGCATTACCATGAAACTCTTAGGGAACATGGATTTCATACATGGGTCCGCAGCTGTATAACTGAGATGACAAGCCCTCATAACCTCATAACTCAATAACCCCATAACCCTATAACCCTAGATGTATGAGAATGTCTGAAAGATAAACGGTACGTTCTTTACTGTAGAATCAGTTGTCATGAGCTTTATCAACAAAGCCGTTCAACTAACAGGTTACGGGGTTACAGGGTTATGGAGTTATGGGGTTTTGGGGTTATAGGGTTGTGGGGTTATGTTGCAATGAGGTCATAAATTCTAGCGTTCTCCTAATCACTGACTACTCCTGTTGGATTGAAATTTCAAAAACCGCTTTCTAAATGAGTTTCTTGGTGCTAGGGTGTTCCGCGAATTCTAACCTTAGATTCCAATGCTGCGGATCAAAATAGTATGGGATACACTATTCTGGTGCATAGCCAAGTCCATTTTTTTATGGCTCTTTGTTGTTTATAGCTAATGCTACTCCTAATACAGTCCGTACAATATTTGTTGAGATAGGATTCCAATGTCTGTCTACCTCCGGTGTCGGATGCGGTTATTCCAAGAAAGTGACGCAGGAGTCTTCTTGGAATTCTATCTCAACAAATATCGTACACACTGTAACGCTTCTGGAAGTGGTTGCAGTGAAACAATATTCACATGATAGACATTCTCGCTGAGTAAAGGGGTAAATAAAACAAATACAGTATTAGAAATACTTTTATTTCGATTTTTGCTTGGAATTAATAAATACAATGCCTAAGTAATAGTTCCGTATTAAAAATATTGCATCTTTTTTTCTACAAACTACAAAAGCCGTTGTTGTATTCTTTGCATTGCCACAAAAAATACACAACTCTCCAATAATTTACAATATATGGTCAAATTTAATTTATTATTAAATAAGTACTAATAATATAAAGCAGCACATTTTTCTATAACTGTACAAAGTTATATCTTTTATAAATAATAATGAATTGAATGATTGCACTAGATAACTTATTTTTAAACGATACCTAAAATTAAATCACAAACTAAATAACTAACACTGGCTGTATTACCACCTTGGGATTGTAAAGTAAATAATTAAACACCTAAAAAACCGAAACGAAAAAAGGAAAAATTTGAAATTAGTTTGGTTCCTAAAATAAAGTACATTTTTAGACTAGACAACAATAGTAGTCTTGGCTTAAAATTAAAAATTTCAGAAATTAGGCGATTTATAAATAAAATTTTGTTATACTTAATATTTAAAATATTTACAAAAAATGCAATAACGTAATAAATAATATGAATACTGTGACTGTAAATTAATTAAAAAGCTTATTCTTAATAAGTACTGGTTAATATCGGCTACTAAAACAATTGCATGCAGAGCTGGTGGGGTAGTGAATTGTCCTGAAAAATAAAAACAAAATTAAAACACGGCCTTCAATTTTTTCCATACTATTCGCTGTCTCAATGTTCACTTGGTGCGACAAAACTTGGTTGAAACCTTTCGTATCGTCAACACCAAGTGCTTAACTTATAAGCATTAGTGACAGGCCCCAAAATTAAGAGTATTTTTAGTATAAATTAAAAAAATAGTGTGTTAAAAAGATCATCTTACATTGCATAAAAGGAAGACAGGACTGGGTTAGCCCTTTTTCACCATAGGGGGCCTTTACCGCCAAATGCACTGATTACATCTAAAATAGTAGGTAAAAATTAGTAAATATATACAAATACAGTTAACATATATTGGAAAACTAAAACGAATATATGTACAAAATATAAAATAAAATTAATTTGTAATATACATTGTGGAGTACTATATTTTCCCCTAACCACATACTTAGAGAGAGACAAACATTTTCATTCAATAGAAAAATAAGAATAAGATTAAGGAAATATAACTCGGAGAATTTGGTTTTAAAGGAATATGTTCAAGACATTCAGCTAAATAATTTAAAATTTAGATATAATGATTTATAATGCACTGATGTACCTTAATAAAATAAATAAATTCCTAACCTTAAAAATATAATATTCATATAAAAATATAATTATTCTCTAAAATGCATTCTTGAGGAATGCATTTCATTAATGCTAAAAATTGATTAAATGTGGCTGTAACTCCACAAGGAGGCATTTTAGAGAAAAAAGTGTAAGAATAATTTTTTTTTATTTTGACCCTATTAGTACATCTTTGTATTAACAATAATTTCAGAATCTTAATTATTTTAACAAAGAATCGAGATTTCCGCTGAGTTTGAGCTATTTTTTTGAAGTTGTATGACTCCATCGTCTTCAGCGGGTCAAAATACCGTATTTTGTTAAAAAGTATATGAAAATAATTTTTTGTTGTGTGCATGTGCTATAATTTTTTCGGCATTATTACAAAAATCGTAAGTATCTAAGCTATCTAATAATAAAACGAGATAATTATTCTTTTCCTCATAGCAATTGATATTTCGACTTTCTTAGAATTCCGAGCAATATCCCTAAGTCGCACTTTAACAGCTGGTAGAACTCATAAAAAGAAGCCAATTTACCAAAAATCGTTTATATAAAAGTAATCAAATAAAGCAATTATGAACAATTATTAAAAAAAAAATTGAAATTTAAAAACTTTCCAATACAAACCTGATTTATTGTCATTTTCGACCACTCCGTTGTAAAAACATAAATTGTTTGCTTACTACTGATACTGGGTATGTCTTTTTTTTTGTAGTTTCACGATTTTGAGTGCGCTTTTCGATTTGACAGTGCTAAATAATTCGTACAGTAGTACGTGATATTATTTTTGATTTGTGGGTGTTTTGTGCAATAAAAATAGCACATTTTTATGAAAACCATGAACTAGTGGACATAACATTAACTTAAAGGGAGTATCAACGAAATGCAGCCGCAGCTTGTCGCTTGTACGCGGAAAGATTTCCCTTACAAAATCATCCGGCTCCGTGGATGTTCGTAAATTTAGTATAAGACTCCGTGACACAGGATATTTAAAGGAACAACGAGTAGGTTACGCTGGAAGACCTTCTCCACGCGAAATGATGGAGATCGAGGAAGAAATTTTAGAAATTAATGAAAACGACCCAACAACGAGCACTAGGTCCATGTTAGTAAATTTAAACAATTTATCTTCCAGCGTAACCTCCTCATCGCTCCTTTAAATACCCTGTGTCGCGGAGTCTTATAACTAAATTTACAAACATCCACGGAGCCGGATAATTTCGTAAAGGAAATGTCAAATGTCACTGTCAAATCGAAAAGCGTACTCAAAACCGTGCAACTACAAAAAAAGACATACCCAGTACCAGTATTAAACAAAAAATTTATGTTTTTACAACGGAGTGGTCGAAAATGATAATAAATCAGGTTTATATTAGGTATAGTTTCTAAATTTCAATTTTTTTAAATAATTGTTAATAATTGACCATTTTTATATAAACTATTTTTGGTAAATCGACTTTTTTGTGAGTTCTACCAGCTGTTAAAATAAATGACTCAACTTTGAGAACACCCTGTAGATACTTCAAAAGTTTGATATTTTTCTAAAAATTCAGTACTCTATATGAAATAATCTAGAATATACTAGCATTTTAAGAGTTTATATTAGAAGAATGACCACAATCCTAGGACACACGGTATATATTTTTTTTTATTTTATCTTATACAGGATATTTCGTTTTCTTTTTAAATAAAACCATCCATTTCTAGTTTACAAACAATGAATAAATACTTAAACAAAACATTAAATACGTTATAAAATCATCAAGTTTTATTTTTGCTCTTTATACAGGGTGTCTCAGTTTTAATCTATGAGACTTCGGGATCAGATAATACAACGAAAAATAATGGTATGTTGTCATATAAACTTATTTCGAAATCTCTCTTCGAGATACAGGGTGTTAATAGTTAAAAAATAATAATTTACTGTAAATACCTTCCGAAATAATGGAGGTATTTGAACTGAATTTGGTGTACGTTATACAGGGTAGGAAAGTACCGATGGTCTATCTGAAGTTACGTGAGAGCGATAAAGTAAGCCATAGAAATCCACGCGATAGAGAAGGATGGCTATAATGAAGGCGTGTCATAGTCACCGCCCGTTTCCCCCTTCCACCAATAAGATCCACTTCTTATTTGTGGAAGGGCGAAATGGGCGTTGACTATTAGACGCCTTCATTATAGCCATCCTTGTCTATCACGTGGATTTCTATGGCTTACTTTATCGCTCTCACGTAACTTCTGATAGACCATCGGCACGTTCCTACACTGTATAGGGCCAAGTTTCCATAAAATACTGTAATATCAAGACTTTTGTGCAACTAGTGGGGAAGATATCGGAAACTTATTCAACTATTTTATAAAAAAAATTGTACGGTCCTGTGCAAAATAATAATTGATATTTTCTGAAAAAGCGTGTCAATGAGAACAAAAATGCCTTTCAAATTACCCAGATACTGTGTGCTAATGGATTTTTTAAATTCCTGTTGGAAATATTTCGGCTGGTTTGAACTAATTTAAATAAAAAATAAAGTAACATCTTTCGAATCAATAATATTTCATTATTACAAGAACTTCAAGAGAATCATTAATTTTCACGTAAAAGTTAACTTATTAGGCTTTCCTCAATTAGTTGAAGAAGATTTTTATTTGATGCTAGACCTTTAGCCTTATAAGGAGGAATATGTGGTTGCAATTAGATAGGGATACTTTCGGAAACTTTTAATCCTCAAGGAATTCACTTTTGATATGGCTGACAATATAATTTGGAAGTATTTATATTTACATTTTTATTCTTGTTTTATTTTTTATTATTTTATATACTTTTTGCTATTTTTTATTGTTTAGGTGGACTTTAGTTGCTTGAGTGATTATTGAAGGTTTTTATTTTATAATTTCTTCACGTATCTTGGAAATGTATCAATTTTTGGACCATATTACAATGCACTTTTAACATTACGTGAAATTAGGTACATGACAATCATTTGAAAATACCACAAATAAGTAATTACAAACAATAAGTCAATTCACTTTATTTAATAATTACTTTTATATCTTTCAGGACCACAGATGTGAAAAAAAAAGAATATATGTGCCTCAGGATTAAAGTATCTTTGAATCCTCGTATTGTGAAAACTTTATCCTCGAGGTTAAAACATTTTAGTCTCTTGATATACGAAAAACTATTGTCAGTAGATGGCCTACTTGAGAAAAAAACGTGCACATCTTAAGCGTTTTCGGCGAAAATAAAAGACAACGATCGGCAAAATCAAATCACGTTTACGTTTGCCTCAGAACTGTATAATTACACGTTTAAGACTGTACACTTGCAAGAAGTCAGATAATGACTTTAATGCTCAGTACGTACCGCCACTGTCACGACTGACTAATATATCTCCTCATTTGTATACATCGAGAGATTTATACGAGACACAACATTATGCTGGCCTTTTTTTGTTTTGTTTCGTTAAATAAAAAACTCGAAAAGAGCGGACGATTAGTAAAAATTATGTGCGGGGCTTAAAAGCAATTTATTATAAGTAATAAACTGGATTTAACATGGTCTGTTGGCTGTCTATACGGTAATATATTCTCAAAAATTTACTGTCCTCAATTATTTGGCAGTGCAAGGAATAGTTTTAATTTTCTGTGACTAATTCTTACCGGCCGACGACAAAAGACACAGTCGGAATAATAAAATTCGCGGCTGTAAAATTGTCTCAATGCAAACGCTGAAAGGGAAAGTCTTTTTATTCTCTATCTAGGCCAGTTTGAGCCATAAATTATAATACGCATAAAAGGGCTGTTAACTCAGATGTATCTCTTTTTTTTTTGTTATAAATATGCAATTATGATATTTTTTAAAACTGTTGCCCCGAACACAAATAATGAAGTACTGTTAAGAAAGTTTTATGTACAAACAATTGTGAACTAATTTTTAAAAAATTGTATAATCTATGGATATTTGATATATGGAATAGGCATGCCGCTATCGTTATCGTTATCATTGCCATTATCGTTGTCGTTATCATACTTTATCTTATCATTATCATAACATTGTCATTGTCGTTGTCATTGGCATTGTCATTATCATTATCAATATATATTGTTATTACTAAGCTAAATAGCTTAATGAAATTTTATTCTAATAAAATGGTGATATTCACCATCTTCTACTGTTTTTAAAAAGCTATATTAACTTGTTTTTTCTTAATAATATTCTATTTTAATGAGAAAATTAACAAACAAATCATAGCACAAAATTGAAAAAGAACTAATTAAATTTCAAATAGTAGAATTCAGGGAAAATTTTAGCAAAATATGTACCAACTATTTTGTGGGTGTGTCTCACCCCATATAATTTCTACGTTATCTAATTTTATTGAATATTTTATCTATCTAAGAAGCTATAAAACAATATAAAGGGTGGTCCATTACTGTGACAGCAGCACTTATCTAGTGGGAGCCACAAACAAAATATTTAAATAAATGTTATTAGATGACAGTGATAACAAATATAATTTTGCATATTTGAACTTATCAGAATATTCATTTACAGTGATACATGTCCAATTTAGTTGAGGTATTACCAAATTATTTTTAAAAAATTTTGAAAATTTGTACTATCTTTCAAAATGCTAATAGAATCTAAATATTTTAGTGCGGATACGTATACACACAAATCTCAAATTTC